CCATGAGAGAAATAAGTAATAAACTGGAATAAAAGAGGGAGGACTAGAAGACAAATTTATTTTTACACATAAGTTAGCACACAACATACTCGTTTCTATTGAACTGAATGCACTGTCATCTTTGTCTTGTTTCCTGATGAATATAAATTGGTCACCTATCTATCCTCTCCTCGTCTTCCCCATTCCTCACTTCTCTTCCAGAGAAACATGCCATTGCCATTTTAACTTCTCTAAAGTTATAGATCAGGCTGAAGCAGTTCTAAAATGACAGGAGTAGCTGGCATTGCAGCACATACTTGGAATTCCAGCACTCAAGAAGCAGGAAGATTCAGAAATCTAAGGTGACATAGGCTAATGGTGAGAGCTGTTTCAAACAAAAGAATGGTAGAAGTCTGAATTCCACTCTCTTCAGGGTCCAAATTTGGAATCTGAGACTACTGTAAATATAAGCCTCAGGCACCCAAGTCTATAATGCTGAGGACACCATGACAAGCAGTGATAATCTACCATTGAATAAGGAAATTCAACAGATACTGATAGGCATGGAATTATCAGCATGCACATTTCTTATAAAGAGTAGAAAATTTAAAAACTAGGAAACAAAGAGATGGTTAAAAACAGGTGCCAAAGAAGAAGGGTGCAAAAGACACGTGACATAAAAGCAAAAGAGGGGAAATGCAAGAGGCGGGGAGCGGGACAGGAGGCACAGCAAAAGAAAACCAACGGTTTAAAAGGACCATTATGGGGGCTGGAGAGATGGCTCAGCGGTTAAGAACACTGGTTGTTCTTGCAGAGGACCCAGCTTTGAATCCCAGCACCCACATGGCAGCTAACAACTATCCGTAACTCCAGTTCCAGGGGATCCGACAGCCTCTTCTGTCCTCCGCGGGCACTGCACAACACAGGTGCTCTTACCTACATGCAGGCAATACACTCATACACATAAAATAAAAATAATAAAAAAAAATTATAAAAGGACCATTATGAATTTATTTTAAAATATCAAAAAAGGAGCCAAATATAGTGGCACACACCTTTAATCCCAGCACTAGGAAGGTAGAGGCAGATGGATCTCTGTGAGTTACTGGCCAGCCTGGTCTACATTGTGAGCTGCAGGGCAGCCAGTGCTACAAAGTGTGACCCTGTCTCAAAAAAAACAAATACCAAACCAAACAAAAAAAAGAAAAAAAGCCATTATGATAGCTAACACTTTGTAAGCTACCTTAAAATTTAAATTTTATGTGAGGCATGGTGGCACACGCCTGTAGTCCCAGCACTTGGGAGGCAGAGGCAGGCGGATCTTTGTTAGTTCAAGGCCAGCCTGGTTCACATAATGAGTTCCAAGACAGCTGAGGCTACAGGGAGACCCTGCTTCAAAAAGACCAAAAAAAAAAAATTTAAATGTTATATAGAGAGACTGTGTGTGTGTGTGTGTGTGTGTGTGCGCGCGCACGCACGCGTGTGTGTTTGTACATAGTTTATCTTCGTTCTCAAAGCTTTCATCATTGTTGGTCTAGCCCTTGAGTACGTTATACTCCAGTAGTCTATGTCAAACATTATTAACAGGGCTCCTAGAACTTGCTGTCTTTGACTTAAGCACCTTGTGGTCTCAGCAAGAGCTCCAAAAACAGGCTTCTAAGTCAAAAGTAGTATCAAGGCACTACAACCTTCGATGCAAACTGTCTACGTGACCTTGGGAGAAGAGAAAAATTGCCCCCCCCAAAATAGTCCCTATATAGGGACTTCTTCCAACGTGTCAAAATGATAATCCATGGATGTTCAAGTGGCCATGGCCAAAACCAAGGGGAGAAGCAATTGTCCAGGTAATGCATACCATGCTTATCTAACAAATGGATAGTGTAACCAAATTGTTCACTTATATGACTCACTCTCCATTTCACAGATTAGTTGGTAGTAATAGGGGTGGCTTGGTTACTGGCAGCTCCAGTCTCACATTTTGACAATTTTGTATATACCAAAAGAAGCCATCAGATCATGGAGAAACACAATGCAGCTCTTTGTCAGTTGGATGATAAGAATTCTTAAGCCAATGAAGCCCCTTGTTCTTGATTCAAAGAGATGATTGCTCAATAGAATATGCAAGGTAAAGTGGTTGACATCTATAATCCCAGCACCTGAAAAACTGATGTAGGAAAATTGCCATGAGTTCAAGGTTAGTCTGGGCTACACAGTGGGTTTCAGGCTAGCCTGGGTTACAGTGTGAGACCCCCATCTTAAAAAAAAAAAAGCCACTTGGGGAGACAGAGACAGGTGGATCTCAGTGAGTTCAAGGCCAGCCTGGTCTACATAGTGAGTTCCAGGACAGCTGGGGCTACAGGGAGAACCTGTCTCAAAAAGACAAAAAAAAAAAAAAAATCGCAAAAATAATAACAGAAGGTGATGTCAAATTTTTGAGCAGCCTAATCTTTAACTGACTTGTCTAATACTGAGTATATTTATCCAATTTAACACATTGCCAACCCTATAAATGTGAGGAATTCCTCTAGAATATTTGTATATACAAAACAAAAAAAATATCCATAGCTATCATCCCCTTCCTCTCCTACTTCAAGAGATTACTGTGAAGAATACATTAACTGAGAGACATTGCACTTTACAATCTGGGGTGTCAGTAAAGACAAAAGAAGAGGCACCAGGGTAATCAGTTTCATGATAAGGGCTCAGAAAGAAAAGGGGAAACAGTTAACTCAAAAGGGACGGAGACCTATTAATGAATGACTTCTCAGGCTGTGAGACTGAGGCCAGCCTGGTCTAATTGCAAGTCCCAGGCCAGCTGGACTACAGGGAGACCCTGTCTCAAAAAGACAAAAAGACAGAAAAAAAAAAAAGGGCTTGTCTTTGTGCACCTGTAATGCCAGTGCAGTGGAGGCTGAGACAGGAGGATTCATGGGTCTTGCGAGCCAATGGGTAGAGCTGAATCTATGGCCTCCTGGTTCAGTAAGACAGCCTGTCTCAAAAAATAAGGTGGAGAAGTTGGTCCTTGCTGCTCTAGTAAAGGACCTGGGTTCAGGTCCTTGCACCCACATCAAAGAGTTCACAACTGCCTGTAACTTTAATTCCAGGGGATCTAACACCCTCTTCTAGCCTCCTAGGACACCTGCACACTCACAGTGCACATACATATACATGACATTCCACACCGTGTTCTGGCACGTAAGAGACAGAACTCACATATACACATACTCACACACACACACACACACACACACACACACACAAATTTAAAAATTTTTTAAACTAAGGTAGAAGGCTGGAGATGCAGCTCAGTTGGTAGAGTATTTGCCTAGCATGAAGCCCTGCATTCAATTCCCAGCACTGCATAAAATTAGGAATAGCAGGGGGCTGGTGAGATGGCTCAGTGGTAAAGAACACTGGCTGCTCTTGCAGAGGACCTGGGTTTGGTTCCCAGCACCCATGTGGCAGCTAACAACTGTCTGTAATTCCAGTTCCAGGGGATCCAATGCCCTCTTCTGAGTTCTCTGAATAGTGGACCACTTACATACATGCAGGCAAAACACACATTTATACACATAAAATTTTAAAGATTCACATAAGGTGAAACATGCAAAATCATTCCTAAACAGCAAGGCACTATACAAATATTGGTTGCTACTTTAGATGGGCACTGGATAAAATAGGGTAAAAGGAGAAGTTTCTTCTACATGAAGAGAGCAATCAGAACAATTTTAAACTGCTAGCTAAATATATTTAGGGAAGTGGCTTAACATAAACTTGAATTATTATTTTAAAGTAGATTCTTACACATAAAGCAACAGAAAAATAAGAAAGAGGGCTTAGGATGTGGCTCGGTTGGTAAAGTGCTTACTTGGCATGTACAAAGTTCTGGGTTCAAATCCCAAGCACTGCGTAAACTGGGCATCATGGTGCATACCTATAATTCCAGCGCAGGGGAAGGGGATGTAGCAGGATCAGGAGAAATTTAAGCCCATCCTCAGCTACCTGGTGAGGAAAATGAGTGATAAGATTTTAAAAAAGAAATGCTAGTTCTGTTCAAAAAATAAACATTTGAATGAATTTTAGCTGGAGTAATCAGACAGAAGAGGATGGATGGAGGGAGGGAGGGAGGGAGGGAGGGAGGGAGTAGGTGCCCAGCTCTCAGCTTACCAAAATAACTGATAAAGTTCAACTGGGGAGAGAGGGTGGAGTTACTTATGACAGTCAGTATAGGGAGAATAGCATTGCATAAGAGAAGTAAAGGTGTTATTATGGAGCACAGAGGCCTCAGGACCTGCAATCGATAGATAGATAGATAGATAGATAGATAGATAGATAGATAATCACTTCCCTTTTTTTAAAAGATAGTCTTTCTACAGAGGGCATTAGAAATAAAAATTGAAAGAATATTCCCTAAGTATCAAACAGAAGTGATTCTGTCCTTGAGATTAAATAGCAATGCTGTAATAAGACCCATAACGATGAGGTCAAGTGTGTTCCAAAAGCTATGGTGGGAGAAGATAAACTACAAATCAGCAAATCAAATGTGTCTGTTTGTCTTAATACAATAGAGGGATTTACTCCCTAACTGACCCAAGACATTCCATAACGGGGTCACACAAACAGAAAACTGAATTTTCTGAAAGGGTATCACACTAATGATGCTAACTAAGCATATTAGTGGCACAGTGTACAGGCACGAGACAGAATTGAAGGCGACTAATCTACAGGGATACCACCAAGGATCAAATCACCAGTCACCATGACAACCCAAGTAGGTGGAGGGAAATACAAACACTGACTAGGCATGGGGTGACACCACTCCTTCAGGTAAAGACCTTAACCCTGGGATCGGAAAGACTGAGTGAAAGAACGTGGTCAAGAATGAAAACGAGTGAGTGAAAGAAGTGGCATGGTCCAGGCAAGAGGGCTCTGCGCTGACCCTAATGCTACTCTCCGTGGGGCGGATCGCAGAGCCACAGGCTGGGCGGTAGGAGACTCAGGACCACCGAAAGGAGTTCTACCTGGTGCAGGGCTGTCAAGCCGTCCACGTTGACCGTGTTGATGTCGGCACCTCTTGCCAGAAGCTTTTTCACCTCGTCCGTGTCCCCGCTAGAGCAGGCAGCCAGAAAGACTGCGCCGTCCTCGAAGCGGACCCGGGGGCTCCGGCGCCTGGTTTGCAGCTGCCGCCCCGCGCCCTGGCGCTCGGCGGACTCCTGCTCAGTCAGGGAACCTCGCCAGCGCCTCAGCTGCTCAGCCCGCCGCGCTCGCGCCGACTCTGCTCGCTTCCCTCCAAGGTGCTCCAGCTCCGCCATGGCTCGAGCCTCAGCAGCTGTTGCCGAAACTACCACCACCAGACTGCTGGTAGGCTGGTGTGGCCGCTGCCGCCTCCCTAAGAGGGCTTCAGCCAGGAACAGAAGGCGGAGGACCCCGCGCCGCCATCTTTACTCCTCCTGCCAGAGGCCCGCCCACACCGCTCCTTCAGTTTCAGCACGCAGGCGCTGCCCAAGCCCCTTGTCATCAAGGGACTTGTAGTAAGAGACCGCCCCTAAGGGCACGCTATGGTTGTAAGAGAACTACAAGTCCCTGGATGCATTAGAAATCAGTCAAGAACCGGCTGCACCCGTCGCCGCCGGACTTAGCGGAGTCACCTTTACCCTGAAGCTGCAACTATCTTCCCCGACCAGCGGCAGCCTCTTTCTCTAGGCATTTTGGGAGTCGTAGTTTATTGTTGTTATGACTACTAACTAATCTTAGCTCCCTGATCATCACTCTACACTTTTAGAATGAAAAAGCAGCAGTTATTATCATTATTTTCTAGACGGAAGGACTAAACATAAAGTACCAGAAAGACTAGAATTCATATCCTCGTTTAAAATTTAGAGCGTTATTGGCACTCATTAATTGCAGTATTGTGAATGTGCATGGGGAAAAGCACATATACACATACAGTATTACAAGTTTTACATAAATACTTTCAATATGACACAATCCAGTTCCAAAAAAGATTCTCAGATATTATTCCTATATAGTCCCAATTCCTATATCCCACATTCCCACTCTTTCCTGCATGTTTGAAATTTCTCATCAAAAATTTGAAATGTGAAATGATTATTATAAAGAAAAACTGTTAAATCCTGACTTGTGAACATTTGCCCATTCTTATTTTCCACTAGAATGAACCTGGAATTATACACTGAAGAAAAAGACTGGTTACAGTGGCTCACACTGGTAATTCCAGCACTAAGTAGGAGAATTGCTCTGAGTTTAAGGTAGCCTGGACTATATAGTGAGTTCCAGGTCAGCCTGGGCCATAGAATGAGACTCTGTCTCAAACCCACCCCCACCCCCCAAAAGAAGGAGGAGGAAGAAAGGAAGGAGGGAGGGAGAGAGGGAAGTATAGTCCTGGCAAGTACTTTCAGCCCTTGGAAAGTGCAGGCAGGAGAATACAAGTCCAAGGTCATCCTTTGCTACATAGGCAGTTCCAGACTGGCCTGGACTACCCTACACTCTTATCTCAATAAAATAAAAACAAAATATTTTACGAGATTTCTTGGTAGTTTGTCAACCTAAAACCTCTTATTCCAATTCAGACTCCTTGCTGATAATTAAAATTGCCCAAAGTTCCCAAGTAGAATTTTGCCTAAAGAAAAAAAGAGAAATTGTTATTAAAATAAAGTAAAAACTGGGCATGGTGGCACACACCTATAATCCTGGAGGATCAAGAGTTTGGGGCCAGCCAAAACTACATAAGGAGATGGTCTCAAATACAAACAAACAGATAAATCAGGAAAGATTACTTAACCATAAGCTTAACTCCCTTTGCAGTCCTCCTGCACTATTTTAATACTATGATCCCAGTAAGTGACAGCTGCTGAACTTTATATTTCACTACAAACGTAGTAGTCTTCTAGTAAGAATTTTAAAGGTGAGAGAAAACTTTCAAGGACCAAAAATGTTAGTTTTTGGCTATATTCTATTTAGTTTAGTTTAGTTTTGAGACAGAGTCTCTTTTACCCAGGTTGGCCAAAGATGAACTCCTGACCCTCTTGCCTCCGCCCTCCAAGTGCTGAGATTACAGGTGTGAGTCACCACTCCAGGCTATGGCTATGTTCTTTGGGGCTTTTTTCCCTTTGGCTATATTCTTTTCGCATTTCCAAACAAGAAATCTTTGCTTTCCATCATGTAATTAAGCTACAATTGGCCAAGACCAAATTCTCTTTCACTTCTTTCTCTTTCCCTTTTCTTTTTGTTTGGTGTGTTTGGTTTTTGAGGCAGGTTCTCATTCTGTAGTGTCAGACTGTCCCAGAACTCACTGTGAAACCCAAGCTAGCTTTGAACTCAGAGTGATCCTCCTGCTTCAACATCTCAAGCACTGGGATTACAGGCTTGAGTCATTAATTACATTTGTTTTTGAAGCTTAAATTGAAAAAGAATACAGCCTTGGCACTAGGGGTGTGGCTTAATTGATAGAGCGATTATCAGGCATGTACAGGGTCCTGAACTGCATAAAACTAGGTATGATTGCACATAGACATGAGTAATCCTAACACTCCAGGTGAGGCAGAAAGGTTATTTGAGGCTAGCCTGGAGGTTCCAGAAAAGAGGAAGAATACGCTCTTGTTATACTTATTGTACTTATTTTTTCTTCTCCCTTTTGAAGGTAAGAGTATAAAATTTTCTGGAGTTTTGTTTTGCTTTTTTAAATATATTTTATTTAATATTTTTATTTTATGTGTATGAGTGTATTGCCTGCATGTGTGTGAGCACACCCACATGGTGCAATGCTGTGGAGGTCAGAGGAGGGCATCGGATTCCCCTGGAACTGGAGTTAAGGACGGCTCATAGCCACCATGTGGGTGCTGGGAATCGAACCTGGGCCCTCTGCAAGAGCAGTCAGTGCTCTTAACCACTGAGCTATCTCTCCAGTCCCCTTGTTTTGTTCTTGAGACAAAGTCTCACTATGCAGTCCTGGCAGCCCTAAAACTCATTATGAAAACCAGGCTGGTGTGGAACTCACAGAGATCCACCTGCTTCTGCCCCGAGTGCTGGGATTAAAGGTATATGACACTATGCCCAGCCCTAATAAAATATTTTTAACTACAATTAAGTCCTAACAATCTTAAGTATTGCTCTAAGGAGATGATACAGTGGGTAAGAGCACTTGCTCTGCAAGCATGAGGACTTGAGTTTGAATCCCCATCATTCTTATAAAAAGCCAGGCATGACTGCATGTGCCTGTAGCCCTAACACTGAGAGACTGGTGGATCCCAATAGCTGTCTAGCCAGTCAGCCTAGCTGAAGCATTGAGTTTCTGGTTCAGTGAGAGTTCCTGTCTCAAAGCATAAGGTGGAGAGCAATAGAGAAAGACACCTGACATCCTGCTGTGGGTTCCACATGTATGCATATGTGTGCACACACCTGCACACTTACATGTACAACACACATACACCACACATATCACACACCACACACATTCATGATATAAATAGAACAGACCCACCTGTGATGTTATTGTATAAAATGAAGAACTTTTTATAAAGTAATACATTTCTATCTTCATATCTTAATTATATTACAATACTCCACTTAAAAACAACAAGAGAGGCTGGAGAGATGGCTTAGTGGTTAAGAGCATTGGTTGCTCTTGCAGAGGGCCTAGGAATCAGTTCCTAGCACCCACATGGCAGCTTAATGACTATCCCTAACTCCAGTTTCAGGTTTCTTCTGCCTCTCGGACATTGCATGTATGTGGTGTACTTGCATGCATAAAGGCAAAACATTCACACACACAAAAATAAATAGCCAGATGTGGTGGCACATGACTTTAATCCCTTTTTTAAGCATCAGGAGGCAGAGGCAGGCAGATCTCTGTGAGATGGAGGCGGGGGTCTACATAGTGAGTTCCAGGGGCTACAGGGAGACCCTGTCTTAAAAAAAACAAAAAAAAAAAGAAAAAAAAAGAAAGTCACATCTGTTAGGACACACAGTTTAGGACAATCTTTCATCCTGGCCTCCAGTTAATATATCTCCCTCTGGTGGACAAATGGGAACTGTACCCCTCGATGGAGTCCTTTTTCTGTCTTTTCCTTCCATTTCTTCTTTTCCCTCTTCCTTACTCCTTTCCTTTCCTTTATCCAAACTATAGTTGATCCTTTCCATCAAACTGAATATACTTTTTGCTTTTTGGAAGAGGCATACTTATTCTATTTTTCAGGGACCCATCCAAGGATGTAATCAATTTCAGTTCTGAAGACAAAGCTGAGATATAGTCACAATTGGAGTAGGAAGACTAGGAAAAGACATTGAAAAGATTAAATATCAGAAAATAGGGGAATGTGGGACATGGATGGGGGCAGGGGTCTAAATTTCATTAAGAACTGTTGTATGAAATGTACAAAAGCACAATAAAATACTTTTTTAAAATATCAGAAAATATCTGTAGCAAAATGAGCACCAACTCCCAAATGATAACAGAAAATACTGCACTGAGTAAATTCTAACAATAAATGTAAAATCTCAACAACTATTTGAAAATCAGACTGGACAGTTATAGTTATATATTCCTTTTGTTTCATAATTTTATGTTTTGTAATAATTCATAAGGTATTCTAGTTCGTTCAATCCTACAGCTAAGTGAGAACCCTGAGTAGAATCATAGCCAAGTCCTAGTGAATGTGTGGGTCTCTAGAAGACAAAACGCACCATGCAGCAGTCATGGGAAGCCAGTTGCTACTTATGATCAGTTTGAACTAATGTAGAAATCACTGCAGTAGCCAAAATTATATTGGCTTAGAAGTCTAGAAAGAGGGGCTGGAGAGATGACTCAGCTGTTAAGAGCACTGGTTGCTCTTGCAAGAGGACCAGAGATCGGATCCCAGCATCCACATGGCAGCTAACAACAATCAATAACTCCAGTTCTAGGGGATTTGACATATTCTTCTGGCTCCTTCTGATCTCTGTGGGCATTGCATATACATGGTGCATATATATATATATATATATATATATATGCAGGCAAAACACTCATAAACATAAAATAAAGATTAGAAAATTCTAAAAAGAAGTCTAGAAAGAGACCGATTGCTGTTTCTGTCACCATTCTCTGAAGCTGCACAACAAACTAAAAGCAATAACAGTAACAGAGGGAGGATGATTGGTAGGTTGATTTTTTATCTCACTCACAGGATTCCCATAGTGTAGTCAAGTTCCTGTGCTGTTGTCTCAGGTCTGAGCTATCTTTGTCTTACAAGTATTCATCTTTGGCACAGGCAGCTTTGAGAAGTCAAGGCTGACTTAGCTATAAGTCTCTCGTTCAGAAAATACCACATTTCTAGAGTCGGAGGATAGCTTAAAAGTCACAGTGAAGGAGGTGGGAGGGTAGTCATTTATTCTTGGTTTCTGTCTTGTGCAAGGATTCTTTTGCATTACTCCTAACGTTGCCTAACCCTGCATGAACGTTTTCAATGATGAAGACACCCACTCTATCTGCTTTAATTTTATTCTTCACAGTTCTAATTGAATGCTTTAGCCAGCTAAATTTTAACTTTTTTTTTTTTTTTAATTTGGGAGACCTCCCTATGTAGCCCAAGCTGATCTCAAACTCTAGATTCTCTTGTCCTGTCTCCTGCGTGCTGGGCTTATAGGTGTACACCACCACGCCTAGCTAAAAAACTTTCATCTATTGGTTTTAAACAAAGTATTAAAAAAAAAAAAAAAAAGGGCTGGAGAAACATTGTAACGGTCTATGATTCCAGCACTTACGAAGCTGAGGCAAGAGTGCTGTGAGTTCAAGGCTAGCCTGAGCTACAACAGCAAGTTCCATGTTAAGCAGGTCTCAGAGCAAGACCCTGTCTCAAAGGTCGCTATTCTGTAGCCTCTTCTCCAGATTGCTTTCGTTTCCTCTCCCTTAAAATGACTTCCAGCTCCTTCCCAGCTCTCAGCTAACTATGCGGGCAAGGCCTGAGAACTACCCCTTAAAGTGAGCGACCTGCTTTGGGTGCTTCAGGGCGCGCGGGCCAGTTTGAATATTGCGGACAAGAGCTCCGAGCGCTGGCCAATAGGCAGGTGCACTCCTCTCCCGGGACGACTGCGGACCAATTACAGCCCTGAGCGGGCTTGGGGGAGTGGGGGGCATGAAGCCACGCCCACCGTCCCGGCAGGCTGCGCGGGTATTCGGCTGGCGGGCGCTGGTGAACCGAGCCCCGAGCTGGGGAGTTGGTGCGGGTCCTCTTGAGAACGTTCTCCGAAGCCACCGTGAGTCTGGGGAAGGAGCGCGGGCGCGTCTAGTCAGGAAAGTGGTCGTCGAACGGAGCTTCCCTCAACCTTCCGTCAGCCGGTCCGCAGCCGGTCCGCAGCGGTGCGCCGAGAGTGCGCAGTGCTCACCTTCAACGTCCGGCCAGTACCCAGGTTTAGTTCGTTGATTTACCTCAGCACTGGGATCATAAAAACATTAAAAACCCTTGGACTAGGACCTGCACTCAGGAATCCGCACATTTAATTGAAGACAAGCTATCAGTGATTAATTACGCAGACTGCAAATTGATGAGAAAGAGCTCCCATGACAGTTGTAAGCTCTAGAGGACTGGGACTACCGTAGGGAAGGAAGAAGTTGTCATTTGATAATGGATTTAACCATTTAGACTTCTGGTCCGTGCAGCAGAAGCTTATGTTTGTGGGGAATAGTTACGGGGAAAGAGGGTAAAACTAAAACACAAGTTGGCAAGTTGGGGGCTAGATCGTAAGGAACTTTTGCGGGAGGGTTGTTTTGTTTTGCTTTGCTTTGCTTTTTGAGACAGGTCTCACTGGGTAGCCCAGGTTGGCTTGGAACTGGCCATCTTCTGAGCTCTTCCTGTATGGAAGTTCCAAGCCTGTGCCACCAAACCCTGCCTCTGTAACGAACCTGAACATTCAGAAAGTACACAGTAATGGATGGCTTTTAAGCCGAGGACTTCCTATAAACCAGTTTGTGTAAACATAAATCTGGTGACTTTGAGAGGAATTGCCTTATTTTTTCTTTCTATTCTAATCTCATTACCATGCCTTTCCACTGTGTTTTCATTTTATATACAGTTTATACTTGTGGATAGATGTTTTATTGTAATTGGTTCTCAGTATAGACTTAGGAAGAAAGTTGTAAATGGAGGGTGTCATCTCTGCAATCAGCAGAACCTGAGTTTGAATCCCCAGCTCCCACATTAAAAAGTGTGGTTACCTGCCAGCCTGTGAGCTCAGCACTGTGGTGGGCAGAGACAGTGAGATTGCAGGAGTTTGCTGGTGGCCAGCTTAGCTTCAGGTACAGTGAGATTCTGTTTCAAGGAGATAAGGCACGGAGTGATCAAGTAGGACACCTGTCATCTTCCTCTTGACCGCCACGTGCTTAGACATGAGCACCTGCACACACGTGTGCCTACACCACACGCACGCACACAGTTTCTAAAAGATAAAGTTATCTAGTGATATGACTTGCTGTAAGAGATGAGGGATGTAAAAGTGTGACTGTTGGGTGTGAGCTCAGGGATAGTTAAGTGTTTACTATGCCAGAAGCCATGGGTTCAGTGCTAGTGCACACCAACACAACACAAAAGAAGTGAGGAAGTTTGCTTTAGTATAATTGATTGTATTTAATATTAAATTATTCTTATAGATATTTAAGTATTTCTGTAAAAGTGTGCTAAATAAGCTGGGCATGGTAATCCCAGCACTTGGGAGGCAGAGGCCTAGATGGATCTCTGTGAGTTAAGGCCAGCCTGGCCTACATAGTAAGTTCTAGGCCAGTTGGGGCTACAGGGAGACCTTGTCTCAAAAAGACCAAAGAGCGTACTAATTATGGGGGCGCACCATACTTCTCCCTTTTTTTATTTAAAAAATTTCAAATTTGTGTTATTTTTAATTATGTGTGCTTTTGCATGATTTTTAAATATTTTGTTATTTTATGTGTATGAGTGTGTTGCCTGCATGGTGTGTAAGTACACACATGTCATGCAGTGCCTGAGGAGGTCAGAAGAAAGCACCCTGGAACTGGAGTTTAGACCGTTGTTAGCCACCTTATGGGTGCTGGGAATCAAAACTGGGTCCTCTGCAAGAGGTAAGAGATCCTCTTAACCGCTTAGCCATCTCTTCAGTCCCGTGCTTTTGCGTGTTTATGTGTGGGTATGTTTTATGTGAGTGCAGGTGCCCAAGGAAGCCTGGAGCATCAGACCCCTGGAGCTGGAGTTACAGGCAGTTATACACTACCTGAAGTGGTTGCTGGGACTCAAACTCGGGTTCTGTGCAAGAGGAGTACACTTTCTTAACCACTGAGTCATCTCTCCAGCCCTTAATTTAAATTTTTCCTTTTTTTTTTTTTTTTTGAGACAGGGTCTCCCTGTAGCTCCAGCTGGCCTAGAACTTATTATATAGACCAAGCTGGCCTCGAACTCACAGAGATCCACCTGCCTCTGCCTCTCAAGTGTTGAAATTAAAGGCATGTGCTACCACGTCCAGCTTAAAATTTTTAAAGAAATCATTTTTAGCCAGGCATGGTGGCCTATACCTTTAATTCCAGTACTTCAGAGGCATAGGCAAGCAGCTCTCTTGAGTTCAAGGACAACCTGGTCTACAAAGCATTTTACATATGCCAGCCAGGCAGCCAGGGCTACATAGACTCTGTCTTACAAATTAATTTAAAAACAAGATTAATAAAAATTGAACAAAGGAAAAGAATTTTTTTGATCTTTTTGAGACAGGGTTTCCTTATAGCCCCAGCTGACCTGGAACTCACTATGTAGACCAGGCTGGCCTTGAACTCACAGAAATCCTCCTGCCTCTGCCTCTGGGGTGCTGGGATTAAAGGTATGTGCCACATGTCCGGCAGGAAAAATATATTTTTTTAATATTTTATTTTTTGGTCTTTTTGAGACAAGGTCTCCCTGTAGCCCCAGCTGTCCTGGAACTCACTATGTAGACCAGGCTGGCCTTGAACTCACAGAGATCCGTCTGCCTCTCTCTCCCAAGTGCTGGGATTAAAGTAATGCGCCACCACACCATTATTATTTTTATTTTTTGTGTATGAGTGTATTGCCTGCATGTAAGTGAGTATACCCGTGTTGTGCAATGCCATCGAGGTCAGAAGAGGGCTTCGGATTCCCCTGGAACTGGGGTTAAGGACGGTGCACAGCTGCCATGTGGGTGCTGGGAATTGAATCCGGGTCCTTTGCAAGAGTAGTCAGTGCTCTTAACCACTTAGCCGTCTCTCCAGCCCCGAGGAAAAATATTTTTAAAGGAGAAAAGGTAGTGTAAATAACAGTGTTAGAGATGAAAGTGGAAATACAACCACAGATTTAGAGAGAGGGTCTTGCTAACGTGACAGAAAACAAAATGGAAAACTTGAAGGATGCTTTTAACATTTTTAAGAATTAAGTTTAAGCCTGGTGTGGTAGCAGACGCCTTTAGTCCTAGCACTCAGGAGCTGAGGCAGGTGGATCTCTGTGAGAGTGAAACTAGTGAGTTCCAAGACAGCTGTGGCTACAGGGAGACCCTGTTTCAAAAAGACAGAAAAAAAAATGGGTTTAAATTAAATTTTCTCAAAATGTTAATACCAAGACAAGATGAAGTTTTGCCAAACAACATTAAGTACCGAGCAACTCCAACTATCCATATGTAAAAAAGTGACAGCACTCCCTAACTCATTTTAGGAGGCTTACATGACTTTGATACCTGATAAGGACAAAATCAGAAAGAAGATTATGTTAAACTTAGTGTTGAAAGCTTTCCCTTTAAGGTTGGGAATCAGACAAGAATACCAAATATGGACTCCGCTATTCGGCATATTCCTGGAAGCTACCTCCAAAGCAAAAGACAGGAAATCGGTTTTGGATATTATTGGCTATTAGAAATCTCATCCTTCTTTCTTAACCTCAAATAGATTCAACTTCAGCATTAAGATTTTGGTTAAGATCAATTATATTTGTGTATACTAGTAAGAAATAGAAAATAGTGGGATTTATTTTGAGTCAGGGTGTGATAGGTAATATTGTCAACTTGGTGATAGGATCTAGAATCATCCAGAAAACAGAACATCTGGGCATGTCTGTAAGGAAGTTTCTAGATTGGTTTAATTGAGATGGAAGACCCACCTTAAATAAGGATCCATGGTCACAAGTCCCAGGCTTAATAAAAAGGCAAAAGTGAGCTGAACACCAGCTTTCACCTCTCTCTCTGCTTCCTGACTGGATGCAGATGCAGTGTGACTAGCCATCTCATGTGCCTTCAGCAATACCTTCCCCTTTCTGATGGACAGCGTCTTCAATCTGTGAGCCAAAAGAAACCCTTAAGTTGTTTTTCTTACAGCAAGGAGAAAAGAACTAATACACTGGATTTTGGACGGCTCCAGACTCACAGCATTTTTTTCTATCTTAACCTGCTTAATGCTGGAATTACAGGTGTGTGCTGAATAGCTTCAGTTGTCAGCTTGACATACCTAGGAAGAGGAAACCTCAATTAGGGAGTTTCCTTTAGGATTGGCCTGTAGACATGTCTGTGAGATGTTTTCTTGATTGCTGGTTGATGTGGGAGGGCTCAGCCCCACTATGGATATTGCCACCTCTGGGCAGGTGACCCTGAATTGTCTAGAAAAGCAGGCCAGGGGCGCAAGCCAGTAAGCAACAGTCCTCCATGGTTTGTGCTTAGTTTCTGCCTCTACGTTCCTGCTGAGTTCTTGCCCTGACTTCCCTTGATGATGAACTGATTGGGCCTGGGACCTGTAAGCCAAATTAACCCTTTCTTCCCCCAGGTTGATTTTAGTCAGTGGTTTTTGACACAGAGTCTCCCTGTAGCTGCGGCTGGCCTGGAACTCACTATATAGACCAGGCTAGCCTTGAACTCAGAGATCTGCCTGCCTCTGCCTCCCAGTGCTGGGACTGAAGGTGTGTGCCACCACACCTGGCTTTAGCCAGTGTTTTATCACAGTAGTAGAAAGCTAATTAGAACAAGGTGTGACCCACCACAGCTGGCTGGAAAATACCTTTGTTTTATTTAAGGCAGTGTCTCATATAGCTACACTAGCCTCAATCTACATAGCCAAGGATGACCTTCTGTTCCTGACTTTCCTCAGGTGACTTTCCTCCCAGGTGCTGAGATTATAGATATACACCATCCATATGCCCAGCATAATATATACAACTTTTATTCACCAAGTTATGCATCAGAAAAGCTGGAAACTATTGACTTTACAACTGTCTTCTTTGGCTACTCCCCCCCTCCCCCCCAATACCTTTGATGGTGTTAGGAATCAAACCCAGGGTCTGGCTCATGCTAGGCAAGCGTTCTACCTCTGAGTTACATCCCCAGCCCCTGAAGTGGAATCAACTTAAATAAATAATAGAAATAAGTAAACTAGTAACTTTGGAGTATTGATTTAAAATGCTCCAGATAATGAATGGAACAAATTCAATTCTCAAAACAGATCACACATGTTTGGAAGTTTATGGTACTATTAGGGGAAGGGTGGAGTTGTTTATTTTTCTTAGTGCTGCTAGGACATTTGGTTGTTTATTTGAGGGCAAAAAATTAAAATAGGACCCCTACCTCTCACTGTGCACAAAAATCAGTTCTTATTAACTTAAAGATTTAAGTATAAAGAACAAAATTAGACTTTTTGAAAACTTAAAGACTATGTAGGAAAATATCTTTAAATTTGAGGGTATGGAAAAGATTTTAAATAGACTGACTTTAAGAATATATTCACTAGCTGAACCTGGTGACAAAGGCCTATGATCCCAGCATGGGTAGGCTGAGGTAGGAAGTTCACAAGTTAAGGACTGCTTGGAGAGAGCTCAGGGCCAGCTGGGGCAGCTAAGGAAGACCTCAAATTTTAAAAAGTTTTTTAAAAGGTTGATGATACTGCTTATGTACAAGGCCCTTGGTTCAATCCCCAGCACTACAAGAAAAAAAAGGAAAGATGTGTTCATCAAATGATACTGTTAATAAAGTGGCAAAATAAGCTACAAATTGTGAAATTATAATTATATATCGAAATACTAATATCTTTTGGGTTGTTACTAAAGTTGTAAAGGGTGTTGAGTAGATATGTTTGTGGGTGTTAGAGACTTTGTATTTGGATGTTGATGACAAAGGCGGAAAGATTGGAAATATAGAGTGAGATGGGTTAATTGATGGGATGAGTTCCCTGAAGAATTAGGAAGACATTGAACCATAATACATGGGGAGAGCACCAGACACTTAAACAGTAAGTGTCTCCAAATATTGACTGTATTGTTCTTGCATTCACAAAGCATGTGTAGACGTCCTCACACAGCTACTGTCTGCAAAGTCCCTTACTGTCCAAGCATGCCGAGGATACAGTTTTGAGCAGAATCAGACCCAGGCTCTACCTCATGACTTTATCATTTATTGATGGAAGCAGGCATTAATTTTAAACTTTTTTTTTTTACTTAAAAATTTTTTTTGTATGAGTAGACCACTGTTCATAAGGAAATGGAAAAAAGTCAGATTCTCTTTGTCACAACAGAGAATAATAATCTGTTCTTCCCTAAATTTATGCTGTGCTTACAATTCTAGTCATTGTAGCTATTTCATGGTTGCGTCTCTTCTTTTCCAGTATATTCCCAACCAGCCCATAGTGTGGAGTGGTGACCTGTTTGTGATCCTTTTACTTGGGGATCATGCAGAGAGCTTCACGTCTGAAGAAAGAACTGCACATGTTAGCCATAGAACCTCCCCCAGGCATCACATGCTGGCAGGAAAAGGACCAAGTGGATGACTTGCGAGCTCGTAGGTATCACACATGCCTGTGGTGATGATCATAACACTACTGCAGATTGTGCTGGAATTCAAACATTTATGTATTCTAAAATTGGGAGTAGTAAGGTCATCTTTCTACCTTAGTTTGTTTTTATTCATAAGGTTTGCCTCACATTTCCTGTTTTTTGACCTCCTCTACCTTTTATTTATAATTGAGATTTAGAAACGGGGCACTAGTGGCACATGCCTATGATCCCAGGACTCTGAAGGCCAAGGCAAGAAGATTGCTACAAGTGGAGGCCAGCCCAGCTGCAGAATGAGACCCTGTTTCAAAAAAAAAGTGAATTAGAGAGTGGACTGCAAGAAGACTCAGACTACTGAGGCACTTGCTGCCAAGCCTGATGACCTAAATTTGGTCCCTGGGACCCACATGGTAGAAGGAAAACACAACTTCTGTTGTTATCCTCTGACCTCCACACACATGCCATGGTGTACATATACACACACACACAAAGCCACATGCACAAATAAATGTAATTTAAAAATTTTTAAAAGAAAGAACGAAAACATATTTGTGTATTAGTTTTGAAATAGTGTTTAGGCCAGATGGGCAGACAGGAAACAAATGACTAGGAACGCTGAAGTCAAAACAAACAAAATTATAGGTTATATTTGGCCTTGTAGGTTGCATTTTGTAGCTTCTGTTTTAGATCTTTATATCCTTTTAGATCTACATATCTTTTGTTTGACACAGTTTTTTTAGTGTATCAGTATTACTACATTAATAATACATTAAACATTACATAAAGACTTGTTTAAAGCTGTAAGAAAATTATTGTCCTAGACCTAGGTTTTTTTTTTTTTCCCCAGATTTTATTTCTGTGTTTGTGTGTGTGTACATGGGTGAAGTTGCCTGTGGAGGCTAGATGAGGGCATCAGGTCTCCTGGTAATCATAAATCACTCGAAATGGGTGCAAGGAACTCTGGTCCTCTGCAAGAGCAATAAGAGCTCTTAACCACTGAGCCATCTCTCCAACTCCTGCACCTAATTTCTCTATTATAAACCTTATTAGGTTCATTTGACAAGGCTGTTTTGAGACAGAGTCTGATATAACCTACGATGGCCTGGAATATGCTATATAGCCAAGAATCACCATGAATTTCTGATCCTCCTGCCTCTACCTCCAGAGTTCTAGAATTTGAGCTTTTGCTACCATGTTAGCTTATGGGGTGGTGGGGATTGAACTCAGGGCTTCATGAACACTAGGCAAGCATTCTACTAACTGAGCTGTATCCCCAGCTCTTGGTAATTCAAGTCATCTGATTCCCTTTTAACTTTTTTTTCCTTCCTTCCTTTTCTCAAGAAATATTAGGTGGAGTGAACACACCTTATGAGAAGGGTGTTTTCAATCTGGAAGTTATCATTCCTGAGAGGTTAGTATGAATTAGATTTTCAGCCTAAAGTAAAGCACAGCTGGAAAACAGAAGAAATAGTAGTAAGAGCATTAAATGTAGCAGTTAAGAACCTGTGTTTTAATCCTAGCCTTACCATGACTTAATGAGGTAAGTTATTTTATCTCTCTAGAGTTGTTTCCTTCTACAAACCAATAGACTACATTGAAACTGAGCATCCCCCCTCCCCGCAAAAAATTGTGGTAAATATATATATTTTAAGATTTTTAAAAAATTTATCTTACGTGTATGTGTGTGTGTTTGTGTAAGTAAATTCCGTATGTGTGCTGGAACATGCAGAGAGCAGAAGAGGGCATCTTAGACCTGGAATTACAGGTTGTAAGCTGCCTCACTTGGATTTTGGGAAGCAAGCTTGGGTTCTCTGAAAGAGCAGGAAGTTCTTGTAACTGCTCAACTATCTTGCCAACCCCTGACACATCTGGGTAGAGGAAGCCTCAATTGGACTGGCCTGTGACCATGTCTGTGGGAGCATCTTTTTAATTATTGAATGATATGGAGAGCCCGGCCCACTGTGGGTGGTGCCACCCCTGGGAAGGTGGGCCTGTGTTGTGTAAGAAAGCAGGCTAAGCATGGGCCAGGAGAGCCAGCCAGTAAACAGTGTTCCTCCATGGCCTGTGCTTCAGCTCCTGCCTCCAGGTTCCTACCCTGAGTTCCTACCTTGGGCTTCCTCAGTGATTAACTGTGACCCAGGAGATAAAAGCTGAATAAACCCTTTCTTCCCCAAGTTGGTATTTTGGTCAGAGTGTTTTGTCACAACAATTGAAGGCAAACTAGAACAAGGTTTCACTGTGGAACTTGCTATGTAGACCAGGCTGACTAGCCTGGAACTCACAAGATCCTCCTGCCTCTACCTCCCCAGTGCTAGGATTGAAAGTATGTACTAGCATACCTCACCCTAGTAAACATGTATATTTTATATAACAAAAAAATGGACTATTTTAACCATTTTGAGTGTACACTTCACGTTGTTGTTTTGCGGCTATCACTATATTACCTGCAGAATTTTTTCACCTTCCCAAACTAACTTCATACCCATTAACCATCAAGTCCCCATTCTTTCCTGATACCAGCCCTTGACTTTCCATTTTGTTGTTTAAAGCCCCCTCTTTTCAAGTCTCCTTTAAGGCTCTAATCAGATAAGTTGTAGCTATGGTTTTATGCAGAATGAGGAAGGGATGAAATGAGTCTTAATTATTGAAACAGACATTTATTTACCAGGTCAGATCCTGTGTAAACTTGTTAAAGCCTTGAATGAGCTTAATAATCATGTCACACATCAATTCTGAAAATGAACAGGTAACTTTCCAAGGTTTTCGTGTCACTAAAGATACACATAACCAACTAATCCTTTTGGGAAAAATACAGTTGTAAAAATATTTGGAGACAATTAAGGAAATTTGAATAATAAATAATAACTGGGAAATTATTAGTCTAAACTTTTCATTGACATAATAGTATTGCAGTAGGACAATGTCCTTACTCTTAGGAGGTGCTTAGAAGTATTTAGAAGATGAAGTAGCTTGAATCCAGGTGGTTGGGTATATTAGTGTTTTCAGTACTTCAGCTCTTTGATTATTGGTAAATTTGGAAAGGTTTGCCTCCCAAATGCTGCCTTTCTGATTTTTTTTTTTTCTGTCTTTTTGAGACAGGGTCTCCCTGTAGCCCCAGCTGTCCTGGAACTCACTATGTAGACCAGGCTGGCCTTGAACTCACAGAGATCCACCTGCCTCTGCCTCCCAAGTGCTGGGACTAAAGGCGTGCGCAACCATGCCTAGCTCTGATATTTTTCTAATAGCATCGTTATTTTATATATCAGTGACCAAGAATGTATTTTAAACATAGTACAAAGCAATATTAAAATAATTTCCAGTTTCTTATCTGTTCACAGGTATCCATTTGAACCTCCACAGATCAGATTTCTGACTCCAATCTATCATCCAAATATTGATTCTGGTGGAAGGATTTGTCTAGATGTTCTCAAATTGCCACCAAAAGTGAGTGGGGGTTAAAGAAAAAGACTGGCTTTCTGTTTTGTCTGTAAAACTTAAGCTAACTGGGCATGGTGGCTCACACTTGTTTTTTGTTTTTAAATTTTTATTGACTTTTTGTGTATTCCATACAGAACATCTTAATCATCTTTATACCCTCTTCTCCATTGGTTCCCTCCCATAACCCCTCCCCAATTGGGATTCATACATTTTGTCACTTGTGTTAAGGTCTATCATGTCAAGTTAGTGTCCCCAGATGTCCCTCAGTGTAAGTTCATCCACTGAGGTCTAGTCAGCCTACCTAGAGTCCTTCCCTTTAAGAAGATCAGCTCTTCCTCACCTAGCAGTAGTCAGCTGCCAATAATTCTTCAACTAAGATTGGGGCCTGCTGTTCATTTCTACAGTTCTGTGCTTGTTTTTTGTCTGCTTGAGTTTTCATGGATCTTGTGCTTGCTGATACCATTGCTGTAGATTCCTATGAGAAGGTCCCCAGGTGCCTATACAACTATTTGAGTATGGTAATGCACCTCCTCCCTGGCTCTTTACAGTCTTTCCGCCCCCTGTTCTGAAATGGTCCCTGAGCCCTGGGTGGGTGGATTTTAACATAGGACCCACACTCTGTAGATTCTTATTCTCTACGTTTTGGCCATTTGTGACCTTTTGTGTTCCTGGCCATCTATATTGCATGAGGGAGCTTCATTGATGAGATTTGAAAGATGTATTAGTGTTCTTGTCATCCATTGTTCTATGTTCATGAGCCTTAAGTGTAGAGATTGTATCATAGATGTGCCACTTAGGCATTGGGTAATTCGCAGACAATCTCTCTGTGTGGCTAGTTGTGGAACTCTGTAATAATCTCTGTTGAAAAAGAAACTTCTTTGATGGGTGGTGACCGGGATACTTGACTCTAAATTTAAGGATCCATATTTAGCAGATTGTAAAAAATTAGATTTGTCTAGGGATGTGACAGCCTTGGGTTTTTTTCTAAGATCTATGACCTCTCCAGCTATGTTTTTTGGCTAGGTTTATAATACCACACATGAGTTTCCTCCCATTAGTGGGCTTTAAGTCCAGTTAGGTAGCTGTTGATTACCCCCAAGTTAAAAGTGCCACTACTGCACCAATGTGTTGTTTGCTATGCTAATCATTGATACGGTTTTTAGGCCTTGAAGCTGAGGTTAGACCATCAATTGAGGTTCTCCCTTACCAGCTTGCATAGTGCTCTCCAAAGCTATGAGAGCTAGCCTTCAGGGGAGGTGGCTTCCAGCTCAGTTCAGCTCTATTGCTTCAAATCCTATGTCCAAGATACATCTTCAGCAATAGGTTCTTCAAGTTCTGAGAGGCAATCAAGGACTATGGCAATAGCCTATATAATTTTGGGAGTCTCTTGGACTACGCTGGCCAAAAACTCAAAGGAAGGTTTCTCTTGTCTGACACTATTTCTTGTTATGTAGCATTCAGTTATACACATGGATTCATGTAGAGAGATTGTATGTGTAATTTTTCAATAAGTTTTTGAACTAATACAATTACCTCTGGGTTTTTTTTATGGGTTTTGTTGTTTTTGAGACAGGATCTCCTCGTGGCCCCAACTGACTTGGAACTCACTATGTAGACCAGTCTGGCCTTGAACTTACAGAGATCTGCCTGAGTGCCTCCTGAGTGCTGTGATTAAAGGCATGTGCTACCACACCCAGCTAATTCTCTCTGGTTTTTTATACTAGCTAGGTATTATTTATCTCTCCTCTCTCCTTGTCTAACCCTCCCTCCATTTAAAGTATTCCCATTTTCCCCATTTCTCCCTTGATAATTTCTGTCTGCTATGGTCCCATCTCTCTTGAGCTCCTTCTTCCCCTTTATCCCCATAGTTCCTTATATAGCATTCCCTCCCCAACCCCATTTAAATACCCCCATTTTACACATTTCTCCCTTAGTAACACCTGCCTCCTACTGTTCTTCTTTCTCAGGCTCTCTCTTTCCCTTTACCTTCCTGGTTACTTTAAATTTTTGTGGTACCTACAGTTACATCAGGATATATACATGGTGCTAGGATCCACAAATGAGGCGAACATATGTCATTTGTTTTTCTGAGCCCATGTTACTTCACTTGGTTTAACAGTTTCCAGATCTATCCATTTACCTGCAAATTTCAATATTTCATCTTTCTTTTACCACTGAGTAGAACTCCATTGTGTAACTGTACCACACTGTCATTATTCACTTGTCAGTTGAGAGACACTTATGTTGCTTCTATTTCTTAGCACCATGAGGACGCTGGATCCAGGTACTCTCAGGCAGTCTAAGGTCTGGGCCCCTACTTGGTGGTTCACACTTGTAATCTCAGTACTTGGAACAGGGGAGGCAGGAGGATTAGGAATTCCAGGTCATCCTCAACTACGTAGCATGTTGGAGGCCAGCCTGGACTACATGAAACCCTGTCTTAAACAAGCAAATAAGAAATCCTTGGATTCTGTACAGTGTCACATTCTTTCTGTTTTATTTGAGATAGAGTTTCGCATAGCCCAATCTGGCTTCAAACTTCCTATGTAGCCAAGGATGGCCTTGAATCCTGTCTCTACCTCCTCAGTGCTGGAATTACAGGCACATACCACCGTGCCTGGCTCAGTGTCTCGTTCTAATACAAAAGAAATTGCTCATCTGTGTATAGGGTGCTTGGAGACCATCCCTCAACATTGCTACTATATTGACCTCTATTCAGCTGCTCATGGCAGAGCCCAACCCTGATGACCCACTGATGGCTGACATTGTAAGTATCCCAATTTCTTCTGTAGCATGTAACCTATTTTACCTGTACCCCTAATACTGTAGCAGCTGACGCTTATCACTGTAAATCACTTTCTTTGTTAACTCTGATTTCATTTCAGTCCTCAGAATTTAAATATAATAAAACAGCTTTTCTCAAGAATGCCAGACAGTGGACAGAGAAGCATGCAAGACAGAAACAAAAGGTATGATTTTTGCCAATATTATCAATTCATTAACAGTATATGCTTGTGGAAGGGGAGATGCTCAAGCTTCCAGCCTGAACTGAGGAAGTATTGACAGTTGATGGCTCCTGGGGATGGAGATGCAGTTTTCTTTAGAGCGTGGCTCCTGGTACATCCTCCAGTGGAGGGCCCCACACCATGAGTTATGGGCAGCACAAATTGGACTTGATGTTTGTTTGTTTGTTTGTTTGAGACAAGGTCTTACTATGTAACCTTGGCTGGCCTGGAACTTGCCATGTAGACCAAGCTGGCCTCAGACTCATAGAGATCTGCCTGCTTCTGCCTCCAGAGTCCTGAAATTAAAGATTTGCTCCATCATGCCTGGCCTACTCTCAGTTGAGAGAAAGTGGGGGATGGAACTGGGACTTGTTAGGGGGAGGAGTGGGGGGTTAGTGAATATGATCAAAATATATTGGATGAAACTGAGCATTGTGGTACATGCCTTTAATCACTATAAAGTGAGTTCCAGGCTAGGTGGGGCTACAGGGAGACCCTGTCTCAAAAAAAAAAAAAAAAAAAAAAAAAGAGTAGATGTCTAACATTTATTAAATTTACTAAATTTGTACTATATTCTAGAAGGACTATTTGAGTGTTTTCTCCTGTTGTTACTGTCTAATAATTATTCAGCAAACTAGCTTAGTTGCTCAACTAACAGTTGACCTTTTTCCTAACAATTGTCATCTGTTGGCAACACTAGAGGGCAGGCAGCATCTGCTTAATATTTTTACATTCTTGTGGGTAGCAGGGATAGAGGAATGTGAAGGTGACCCAGATTTGTTTTTTTTCTGAGTTATCTTTTTTAATATTGAGAAGGAACTGCTAGCCAAGGACTAGTTATAGAAGTAGAAAGAAGGTAGGGGTAGGAAGGAAAATTTTTATACTACTATGAGACCACTTAGAGAAAAAGAGAATCTTCTTAAAATTGATAATGTTTGGTTGGTTGGTTGAGTGGTTGATTAATTGGTTTTTCAGACAGGGTCTTTCTTTGTAGCTCTGGTTGACTTGAATTTAACTATGTAGCCCAGGCTAGCCTGTAACTCTTGGTAGTCCTCCTGCCTCAGCCTCTTGAGTACTGGTATTAATAGGCATGCATCACCATACCTAGCTTTTTGAGTTGGTAAGTTTTAAGTGAAAAAAATAATTAAAATATATAAAAAACTGAAGAAAATACTTTTGAAGGAAATATATGCATAAAATCTTACCATAAAGAACTATCTGGAAATAGTATTAAAGAGTTTCGTTTTTCTCCACTCATTTGTATGAATGTTCTATTTTCTTTGTAGGCTGATGAAGAAGAGATGCTAGACAGTTCATCAGAGGTCAGTGACTCTGAGGTCTGTAACTCGACACAGAAAAGGAAGGCCAAGCCCTTGGGAAGCATTGAAAAGAAATTTCACCCTGGTGTTGAGAGGGTTTGTCCTGGTCCCTCTTAGTTAATGCATTCCTTGACAAGGTAGTCTCATTTGCTTACCTTTCTTGAATGTTTTCTTTGTATTTGATGACATTAGAATTTTTGTATCCTTATAAAAAACTGTATATTTATGTATTCTGCTATACAGTGATTCTACATATAGTTTGTTTTATTTATCTTGTATATACGTATTTTGAAAACTTTTAAATTTGAAAAATAAATAATACTTAATGTTAAGTATGTGTTTATCCTAAATGTGCATCTGGTAATGAACTGGTCAGGTTGCTATATGGTCTGAATGTTAAAATACTTTGCCAGCTTACCTCCATCACCAAAGACAGCAATGTTTGAGTAGATGAAAAATAGCTGTTAAAAATAATTACCTCTGGGGCTGGAAAGATAGCTCAGCAGTTAAGAACACTGGTTGTTCTTGCAGAAGACCCAGGTTCGAATCCCAGCACCCACATGGCAGCTAACAACTGTCCGTCCTACACTCACACTGACATATATACAAGTATTAATAAAAAAAAAGCTGGGCGTGGTGGCACACGCTTTTAATCCCAGCACTTGGGAAGCAGAGGCTGGCAGATCTCTGTGAGTTCAAGGCCAGCCTGGTCTACAAAGCGAGTTCCAGGCCAGCTGGGGCTACAGAGAGAGACCTTGTTTCAAAAAAAACCAAAAAAAAAAATAATAATAATAATATAATCCCTCTAAGTTTTCAGGAATTCTAGTGTTTTAGAAGCCTCAACTGGATTAAGGAAGGCAATGTCTTTTGTTAATGTTTAATTTTTTTCAGTTTTCACTTATGATTTATACAGGTGGTCAGAATTATTATAGTGTAATTTTCATTTGTTCAATAATTTGTTTTGTCATTTGTTGAGACAGGATTTTGCTATATGGCACAGCTGACTTCAAATTCACAGTGATTCTTCTGCCCCTGCCTCCCAAGTGCTGGGATTATAGGCATATACTACCATGCCTGGCCCTTGGCAGGCATTATTCTGAACAGTTAGGTATCAAACTTGAACCTCATTGTGATTTCATAATACATTTGTTTGCGGGGGGCGGTCATTAACTAGCTAGGAAGCTTTTTTTTTTAATACCTAGGCTAGACACCATGTATAAAAAATGCATAAAAATCCTCCAGATAAGCATTTGCTATGTGTGTAGAGTATATATATCCTCATTTAGTACCATCTGCTATACATGTGGTGAACTCATCTAAAGACAACAAATGGGAATTTATGTACTTTGTTAGTGACAGTGCATTTACCAAAAAATACAAATTTCTAACTTCTACAATTTTTTTTTTTGTCTTTTCGAGACAGGGTCTCCCTGTAGCCCCAGCTGTCCTGGAACTCACTATGTAGACCAGGCTGGCCTTGAACTCACAGAGATACACCTGCCTCTGCCTCCCAAGTGCTGAGATTAAAGGCGTGCAGCACCACGCCTGGCTTACTTCTACAATTTTTTTCTTCAGTGCAGAAATTGAATAGCTTTCCACTATGCTAGGCAAAAAGTGTATTTCTGAGTTAGATCACCTACCCTTACAGAATTGTTGAACTCAGTTTTCAGGCTCAGTTACTGGGTTTTTTGTTGTTGTTGTTGTTGTTGTTGTTTTGAGACAGGGTCTTCCTGTAGCCCCAGCTGCCCTTGAACTCACTATGTAGACCAGGTTGGCCTTGAACTCACAGAAATCTGCCTGCCTCTGCCTCCCAAGTGCTGGAATTAAAGGCGTGCACTCCCAGGTAGTAACCCAGCATAAAACTGGGAAAATGAACAGCAGACCCCAATCTTGTCTAAAGGAATATTGCAACTGATTGCTGCTAGATGAGGAACAGCTGACCTTCCTAAAATAAAGCCCTCTAGATAGGCTGACTAGATTCACCTGATGGACAAGTTTCTGTTTTTTAAGGTATAGAAATTAATTTTACTCCAAGTTTGTTTCTTATGCTCATGGCAGGCTTAGAGTTCCTAGATACCATTAATATCTCAATTAGGGTGCTTTCAATAGCGAGTAAAATCAGACTGGCAGTAATAAAAGAAAATGTTTTACTTTACTGAATGGAAAGGGTAGGCTTCAGAGACTTAGCAATATCATGAGCACTCCATCTGCCTTCATACTACCAGCTTTCTCTGTGATGGTTTAATCCCTAAAGTTCTCCAAGGTCAAGACCACCAGCAGTCATATGTTCTTATACACATCCAGCAGACCAGAGAGCTCCACTTTCTGTGGAACAAAAGCCTGGTTGGTCTACCTTAAAAGCATCATGGGCCAGAAATGCCATGTGCTTATTGGTTCTGGCTAAACAAGATGCAGAATCAGAGTTCGACTTAAGAAATAGATGTACTCTACACACCAGTGCATCACCTAACCTAGTTAGCTCTCCCAGCCATTTCTACCTACACTGCCAGCATCCTCATGCAAGCTGGCAGCATCTCTCCCCTGTAGTGGAGCCTTCTGTCTTTGTTTCCTTACCACCATCCCTTGCTTTCCATAATCCATGCTTCCCTCCACTATAAGAATAATCTTTTGACAGTGTTAGATTTGGCTTCCCTCCTGAAACCCTCTAAGTGCTTCCATTTAAGTCTACTTCCGTGACCCATAAGACCCCTTCATGCTTTATCCTTGTTGCATTCCCTCCCTTGTACACACTCCAGCCACACGGGACTTTCAATCTCTTGCACATGCCTGGCTCATCCCTGCTGCTTCAGGGCTTTCACCTATACCACTGTAGGAGGGGATGCCTCCACCCCCAGGATGGTCTCAGCTCAAATGTATCCTCTGAAGGTCCTCATCCCATCTAAAGCAGCCCTAGAGTCTCAGGTGGTACACCCTGGCCTATAAGCTCATTACTCTGATCAGTCTTCTTCATAGCATATTAGACTTAATTGCATTTACATGTCTATTGTCTGACTCCAAGTGCTGGGGATATAGTAACTACAGGGAACTTTTCTCTCCAGTCACAAGAAACATCAGAAGTGAAATTTATTACAGAAGACTTGGGCTGGGGAAGAGGAGTGACATGCCCAAGGATTAGGAAAGCCCAGATTCCTTCTCACAGGCCAGGGAAGGATAGGAAATGGCTGAAAACATGGGTTTAGGTCAAGAAGACCTAGTTAATAGCGCTTGGGAGGTGAAGGCAAGGAAGATCAGAAGTTCAAAGCCATCCTAGGCTACATAGTGAGTTTGAGGCCAGTCTAGGGTACAAGACTTTGAGACAGAGTAAGAACAAGAACCCAGTTCTAGCTCTGGTGGGTACTACAATTGTGTGATCTTAACATTCAACCTTTCTTGGTTTTCACCTCTGTAAGATGGCCATACTGTCAGTACTTAACTCCAAGAGTGTTGTGAGGACTGAAGGAGATGATGCTTATAAAGCATCTGGCACAGGGCCCAGCACAGTGCTGATAATTTGTTGGGTTCCTAGGGGGATGGAGACAGTGATCCAACCATAGGTGGGCCCTGAGGAGCTGCTATGCCCTCAGCCTACTTGCCAGTCTGCTGTTCCTAGGACAAGCAAACTGCGCAACTCCAAACCCCTAATTAAAGAGGAGAGATGACATCCATGACTGATCATATAAACATTGCAGATTCCAAATTCCCTTCTCCTGCTGCCCCCCAGTCCCCCTCGTCACCTCTCCCCACAAGCTATCTAAATAAGAACAGATTTTACCATCCACCTTGTGGGCAGACAGCTGAGACTAGGACTAGCTATTTATCTTTCAGCTGCTGCAGGAATTCAACACATACAAATAAAGCTCCTTTTCCAGCCAAGTGTGTATTTTTCCATCAGCATGTGGCCCCCCTGCCCAGGTTGTCTTGTTTAGGTTGGGGCAGCCTGAGGATAGGAAGGATGGGGAGGGGGAGTAGGGTTGTGGTTTTAGAACCTGCTCCCCAGGATAGCTGGCTGCAGGGCAGTGTGCAATCTAGGACTACACAGGGCTGCCAGTGAAGCCCAGGAGAGGCTGAGCGATGGACATAGACATGCTATGCACAGAAACAACACATTCCACTTTCTCTGTTTCTTGGCAAGTCGCCCCTTCCTCCTGCCATGCTCCCCGCCCAATAGAGTGACCACCTCTCTTTCCATGTAATTTATATCTGAGATGACAGTCTATCTAGTGTCTCTCATCCCTACGCTAGGGTTTTAACCCTTCACGTACTTGTTTTTCTTGCTTATCTTTACCCCGACACTACATCCCACTAGACTATGTCCCTTTTCTATCTTTGCCTTCCTTTATTACCCAGGACTCTGAAACTGTTGAATTCAGACAAGGGACTGCTCTCCAAGTAACTTCCTTCAAACCTCCCATTGGAAGCACCTTCCTTTAAGGGTTGAGTTCGTTGTCTCTAGGTTTCCTCTAGACACAAGAGTCCTGTCAGGTAGTTACTCTTTTTCTGATACAGGGCCTTACTATGTAGCCCTAGCTGGTCTGGAACTTGCTATGTAGACCAGACTGGCCTTAAATTCACAGGGTTCCACCTGTTTCTGACTTGCAAGTGCTGGAATTAAAGACATGTGCCACCATGCCCAGCAAGTACTAAGTCTTTTACATAAAAGATCTTTAATTTTTCCAGTAACCTGCAGAGTTTGGGTATTATTGTTATCCCCAGCTTACTGATAATGCAACTAAGGACAGTGGCCATTAATGGCAATCTGGGCTTCAAACCTAAGTACTCAAGAGTCATGTTAATCAACCATAAGCATTCTGTTCTAATTTATTTATTTATATATATCTTCCATTCCTCCTAAGATAGCTTTTGGGTAATGGGCACATTTCTTCCCCTTCAGTTTCTTCTCTATAAAATGAAGCAGGGATGGGCTGGAGAGCCAGCTCAGCAATTAAGAGCACTTGCTAGTCTTGAGAGGACCTGGGTTTGGTTCCCAGCACCCACATGGTGACTAACAACCATAAGTAACTCTAGTTCCAGGGGATGTGTCATCCTCTTCTGGCCTCTTGGGCACTGCATGCACATAGTTCATTTACATACATGCAAACAAAACACTCATACACATAAGCTTTTTCTTTTTTGGTTTTCTGAGGCAGGGTCTCCCTATAGCCCCACCTGGCCTGGAACTTGACCAGGCTGGCCTTGACCTCACAGAAATCTACCTGCCTCTGCTTCCTGGGTGCTGGGATAAAGGTATGCACCACCATGCCCAGCTCATAGAAATTTTAATTTACAAAAATAAGGCAAGGAAAGATCCAGGTGTAGTGTGGTAGCACTTGCC